GTCCGGAGTGTGAGGGAAAAAATCGAGGAGTTTCGCCTGATGTTTCATCAGGGACGTCGGTGGCTCTTTCGATAATCTGGACGAGGTCATAATCGATGGAGAAGTCTCTGATATATCTGTCTTTCCTCATCGGTTATGCTCGAGTGGACTAACCCCACTTGTGGCGGATATTGAAGTCACCACATATATCAAAGCTACCTGGGCGAAATTCGATAAGTATATTATCAATCCGCTCAGATACTCGATCGAAATTTAGTTTCCCATCATCCTGAGAAGAGCGGAAACGAATGTGGTACTATCGATAGTACTACACAGAATCACTTATACAGGCGATCAGGGTTCACGTTTTTTTGTGTCCCCGCTACAAGAAAACTCGTCCTTAATGTAGGCGCCGAGTCAGTTTCCATGTCGATTTAGATGGTCTTGTTTTTTTTTTTTTTTTTTTTTTTATCAGGCGCGAGTGGCGGGCTCCGGCAGTATGATTGAGGCATCGATACCTGTTTCAAACAGAAACAGGAAATTGGGTTTGTTCTCAAGATGAAGTAGTTCCACTTTTGAAAAGTGGGGACGTCGACCCCATACGTGCATAAATATCCTGACTTGACTCATCCAAGAGGACAGCCGTAACAGTGCTCTTTATCATGGCATCGAGAGGCCCCACCGAAGACTACTGCACAGTTCAGAACCAATTCGCACAAAGTCAGTACAGCAACCCCGATATTATACACCTGCTGATAGGATAGCCTACTTCGAAGTTACTCAAATCTTCATACCTCTAATTTAGTTGGATAACACCAAAGCAGAGAAAACGTCTACCTCCAGCAACCTAAATGAAGAAACAAAAGAATCCTGTGAAGCAGATCCAGGCGTTATACCAAAAGCCTACATGTTTTGTCTACCAATAAGTAACGGCGACAGAAATCCCTCCTTGGGTCAGAAACATCGTATCGGCCAGCGAAAAGAAGCACGCTCATATACAGGGCGTTCCATAATAATGTATACACTATTTGAATCGTTATAACTTATTCAATTTGTGTATTTTGACTTGTAAATAAGATCAATACAAGAGAAAGAATACACATTTAAAGAATTTGAAAATAAAATATACAAAAAAAAACAAAGAAAATTAACTTTAATAAGATAAAAGCTATTTGGGGCAATGGCAGAATGTTCATATAATGATGAATTCACATCAAGTGCTCAAACTGGTTGCCATTCTGTTTAATACACTTTTCATATCTTGAAGAAATAGACCTACAAACGTCCAGCATCATTTCCTCTGGTATTTGAGCACATTCTTCTTCAATTGTTACTCTCATTTCAGCAAATGTTTCAGGTTTCCTGCTGTAAACTTTGTCTTTTAGAAACCCCCACAAAATTAAATCCAAGGGTGTCAAATCTGGTGATCTCAATGGGTATTCACCTGTCCCTCTTCTGTCTTGCATATTTTAATCCATATAAAAAAATGTATTATTAACTATTAATATTTAAAGAGTGTATACATTATCTTGGCACACCCTGTATATGACGACTAAAAGGTCCAATGGAAGATGTGTAACGAATGTTCCTTGGTGTTGCGTAGGCATCCTCTACCCCTATTTAATTTAATATCATAGAAGAAAAACTAATTTGACATAGGCAGGTAAGTAACTTTTCTTGTAGGCACAAGTTATATATTATTAAGTTTCTGAAAAATAAAAAAAAATTATTAAATCAAAGAAATGCAATAGCAATTTTCTGTAGATATTGTCACATATTTTCTTTAAAAATAATTAATTATTAAATAATTTACATAATTATATATATATTATTTGATCATAAAATAATTTCTAATTGCGTAATTAAGTTCTAATATATTAATTTTACAATACCATATAAAGTCTTAGTTAATAAAATAAATATTTTATTTTAAATCTGTATTAATAAAATTACTTAATCATATTTGAATATTCCTTTAACAAAATCTCGATGTAGTTTTAGAAATGAAGAGAATAAATAAAAAAATAAATAATTTCTTTACATTAATAAGGATACTAAGAAACTTCTCCGTAATTACAAGAGGGACCTATTATACATAAGTAGACAAAACTTGTCTAAATCATTTAATGATATATATATATATATATATATATATATAGGTACCACTAAAAATAAGCGATGCCTAAGGTTTAAAATTCATTTTAAAAATGAGAAATCTTCCTTGAAGCTTTTAATTTAGTTTTAATTCCAAGCTAATACATTAAATGTAATCAGCAAAATCGATGAAAAAATCCATATTGGCAAATATGTTAGCCCAATATAATTCTTTTTATATTAAAACCCAGTCTAAAACAAAATATACTTATCTGAAATGTTATTTTGACAAATAAACTAGATGATTTAATGTTCAATTATTCTGAATTGAAACAATTATTACTTACTTCTAAATGGTGTTCCAATAACTTGGATCGATTTTAAATGTGAATTAAGTTTAAAAGTCTAATGATTTTTTTCTTTTTCTTTCAGATTTAACAACTTAAATCTTTGGCAATTTCAGTTCAACCATGGGCAGATTAACAGTCAAACCACGTTTTAAAATTTCAAGTGTGCAAATGGGAAAATGTTTCGTAAATTCAAACAAACTGGGTCCGTGGCAGATGTGAAAACATCATTGCGGTTTCGTTTACCCCGTTCAGCTGAAAACATTGCTGCAGTGCACGAGAATCTGGCCGAAAATCACCTCTATTCGCCATCGCGCACAGGAATTAAACCGCTCCACATGTTACATCGTTTCCAAATGAGCTCTCGTTTGGTCGATTATGTTGACCAAAAAACTCGCGAATTGCGCGAAATGTATTTCTATTTGAACGTCGATTTTCGTAATCAGATTCGATAACTTTAACACGTTGTTTGATTGTTAATCTTTCCATGGTTGAAATTGCCAAAGACTTAAGTTGTTAAACCTGAAAGAAAAAGAAAAAGAAATCATTAGACGCTTAAACTTAATTGATGTAATGGAATAACCAGGCACCACCATGAATGATTACACTATAGGTAGTACGTACCTATTACGTCAACCGTCTACGAGCGAGACGACGCAAACACGTCCGACCTTCCAGTTAGTATCATTCTCTAATAGATTGACCTGTGTGTATAACTGTACCGTATTTCATATTGTGCTTTTTGCGTACAATAAACCTTTCTTCTAGTATCTATCTGGTGTTATGTGTTTATTCCCTTAGAACGGAATATAACATTAATTCACATTTAAAATCGGTCCAATTTATTTAAAATAGTTTAAAATATCACAGAAAAGCATTTTCTGACTCGGAGGTGGGTGTTTTTATGAGGTGATACCACATTTATAGACAGCCTAATGTTTGAGAAATTTGACAAAAGAGCAGAAAATGGACATTAAATTACATGACGGATACAACGTGTTTTAATTATTTTTTTACGTATCTAGCAATCTATAAATTATATTCTAAGTAATGTACAATTTTATTGAAGTTTACGTCATTTGGAATTATATTTTTACTTAAGAAACCGCTTGTTGAGGAAATGTTAGAAAATAAACTATATTCACAGGTCTTATTTTCGGATAATGTCTATGTTTTATTTACAAAAATCAACAATGATTATACACACAAAAAAAATCAAAATTATTTTTTTAAAATACTGGGGGTCGCTAATTTGTAGTAAGATTTTATCGTGATTATTAGTAAATATAGATTTTATTTAATAATAATATCACTTGATCTCTATAAATTAATACATGATTATAAAAGATTTAAAATTTATACATTATTCTAAGTAAGTTAAAAAAAATGAGAACAAATCTTGTAAATTTCAGTATTCATCGACATTTTTTTTCGTAAGACAATAATACTACGTTTTATTCATAAAAAACTTTTCTAATTTTTATTACATCTTTTATTTTACGATTCAGATTAGAATTTTCTGTAATTGGGAATCTTATTTTACAAAAAAAAAAATACTGATGAATCATATTCTCCGAGTTCTTATAACTAAAATAAACAATAACCGCTACAAGAAACAAATAAAATTGAAATATATGTTTTACATCAGATACTGCTGTAGTAACAGATATAAAATATTTTTTTAAACAGATTTTCTAAAAGAAAACATTAAAAGAATAATTATTTCATTCAGTTCTGAATAATTCCTGAAAGTTTAATGAACACCCGACAATTATCTGATTTTTGCAAGGATTTCTAAATATATGTGTTTTCCACCGAAAAAGACCCTCAAATTTCCCAATGACGCAAAAAAAAGCAAGATTTTTAATTTTTTTCTATTTTGTTATTGTTATGATCCGGTTCCCTTGTACCACGGTGATAGTCCAAGGTAGAACCAATAAAGAAGAACTCGAATACGGATATGGAATAACACAGATATATTACAAACAGGAATATATACAGAGAAGTAGAAGTGTTAGTATGAACAATCAGGTTTAGTAGAGAGAACAATGTAGTCTCGACCAGTATCACTATCCCAATGTCTTGTAGTAATTGTCTGAACGCGACTCTGTTTCGGACTGCCTCTGACTCGACTCTTGACTCGACTTAAACTACTGACTTGCCTAATCCTGAGGCGCAGTATTTATTAAGTATAGAATAGTCCATTATTATTATTATGTGTAAGTTCCGATAACAGTTATATATTTCCTTAGTATTGTTCTTGATATATATATATATATAGATATATATATATTTTTTTTTCTTCATAAATAAATGGATTATGTCACTATCTTAACAGTAGGTTGTGGATATTAACCTTAAAATTTTATAACGCTCAGTTTTCAATCCACGCTTGACGATTGCCTCGTGCATAAAACTCAGAGTTTGGACCAAAGGCTGAGGAAAAAAATGTACAATTATATTTGCTATAAGTTTTAAATCTTATTATTATACATCGAACACGGATTTGCCAGCACTTACTGAAATTATAGAATGATGTATTTTATTAATCGGAATTTAATTAAAATCTTTGCACTCTCAATGAAGGGATTTACACAGAAAAGAGATTTACTTACAGAGGTTCGATATGTGAAACTTGAGTTTGTAGCTCTCGACGGGCATCATATTCTTGCCAAACAGAAACGTCCTATTGTTGCATATTTTCTCTACCCCCCCCTCGTCCAAACCTGTTCTAGAATGCCGATGGACAAAGACAACAATATATGTTTTGCTTAATTTGATCCCACAAAAGCATTATTCATAATATCTGTAGGCATCTTATCTCATTGTAAAACTTGGTACAGTTGGAAGCCTTATTGGCTCTTCGTCAAACGTATGAAGTTTGTATTTCGGCGTTTGCAAAGTAAATACGTTTTACTAGACAGGCTATGAGAGCCAATGTAAGTTAAATTTACCTAAATATTATCTATATTATTAAAAGAAAGGGATAGTCCGCTTTTTACAACACCGAACAAAATTCATAAGTGGCACCCCAGAGACATTAGATAAAGAACTGTTCAGTATAAGCAGTACCTTACAACGTAACAACTACCCTGGGTACAGGGCATCAGTCCCAATAAACTGGGATAGGTGGGTACAAGAGGAAAGCAACAATACTCAGAAAACAGTCTGCCGGCCTTATGCGAAGGGGTTATCGGAGAAGATACAAAGGATCTGCGGTCTATATAACATCGGGACAACCTTCAAAAGTTGGACGAAACTCCGCAGATGTCTCTCCCGAGTAAGACCCCCTCCATAGAGGAGAACATGACTAAAAACTGTGTGTACGCCATCCCGTGCAGCTGCGGAAAGAAATATAAAGGGGAGAGAGGCTACTCTCTTAACGTAAGGCTTCAAGAACATCAACTGCTGTAACACGGGCAAAAGTGGAAAAATCAGGCCTGGCTGACCACATTTGGAGATAAAAGGGAGATCACTGCTCTCTGTGGGAACAGGTTGAAATCATAGACAAAGAAAACCATTGCAAAATTCGTAAATTTAAAGCATCGGCACATATGCTAGGCACAAAAATCCTCTGAGCCGACCAAGCATAGAAATGAATACAATATGGGAACCAATAATAATGAGTGACAGAGAAAAGCAATAATAACAACGAAAATTGTAATATGAGCTCTGGTAAAAATGGTTGCTGAAGACATTAACATTATAAGCCCCAGAAATTCATACACAGATGCCCTTAATGTCACATGGCACAGTGGATAAAGGCGTTGGTTATATCCAGTGACAGGGCCTAAAGAATTGTGAGTTCAAAACCTGGTTAAGGCAATGGAGAACTTATAGAGGTTAATTAACAGGAGATAACTGATAACGGACACCCATTACACATATCACGTGGAACTAGAACAGTCTACCCCAGCGAGTGAAATAAAGGGTTCAGTTCGACATTCCAGTCAACTGAAGAAAGTCGAAACGTTGTGATAAATGTGTCAACAAAGTTGAGGTCAATAGTTCGAATAATGTAAATAGTGTACATAATACCTCATCTCAGAGATATAGACAGATATTTATCAGATATTATTTATTTCACGAATACTTTTGGTAACATCTATCGTAGCAAAACCTGCCGTATATTTGCTTGCGGCCATATCACATGGAAACACCGGTTCTCATACGATCACTGATGTTAAGCAACTGGTCACTACCTAAAGTGGGTGACAGCTTGGGAGAAATACTTGGATGAGCGGGTGGTGTAATGGATAATGGCACGGAATTGCTAATCGCAGGGACGACTTCCAATTCCCGTAGAGTTCGTTATATTACTTACGTGCAAATACCTTTGGGAAAAGTACGAATTCACCTGTTCTCCCTCAGATATCGGTTAATTAGTAAAACTTGTATCGCAAATCTTATTACCTCCAAAACAAAATCTTACAATTAAAAAAAAATTGGCTTTAAATAACCGGCATAGGGTTGATAAACCGTAAAAAGGAATCAATGAATAAAAAAGTATGTTTGGATCATCGGCTACTTTTTTATATATATATATATATATATATATATATATATATATATATATATATATAAGCAAACTAACAAACCGATCCCGATAAATTAATCGTTAGAAAAAACCAAGTAAAGATAATCAATCCAAATAAATAAATGAAGTAATAAACAAATTAAAAACTGCTCCCGCCAAAATAATAGTTAGAATAAACTACAGCAATCAACCCCAAAATTGAATAAATAGCTTTAATTATCTTCCCAAACCTAAACAAAACTATTAAATAAGCGATACAAACAAATTTTTACTCCGTTAATAAAACACCGATTAAAATAAAGATAAGAAATAAAAATAATAATAAATATGAAATAAAATAAAAAATAGAAATAAATAAAAACAAGCAAAATAATCTAACGCAAATAAATTATTAAATAAATAAACAAATAAACGACTTCCGGCAAAGTAACCGCCAAAATAAACTACCCACAATGCACCACTGACTCGTATATATAAATAGCCAAGAAAAAAAAACTCATGCACAGACGATTGCGTGTAGCATGAAACAGTCTGTCGCCTCTATGTGTTGACTTCAATGTTCACTTATATATATATATATATATATATATATATATATATATATATATATATATAAATTTAGCCCAAGTAATGCGATAACGCCACAAAAGATGCGGGGGTGGGCTACTGAAAATGAAAGAGAAGGTTAAGACATTAGATGCAACTGAAAATCCAATAATGGTATACATTTCGGAGTTCTGGCAGAGATGTTAGCAGTCTAGAGTTGATGTAGAATTTAGAAGTAACCGTAAGACTAGTGTTAAACAAGAAATAATAAACATCTACTGCTGTTCAAATGACCGAAGAGGAGTGTGAACCGTACGATAGGTGAAACTATCTACAATCAAACCTAGTTTTCTGTAGCAGAATTTTGGCTTGACGCCCAGTAAGATTAAAAAAAAAAACAGCTGTCAAAAACCGGATGGAGTTTCTTAGAAGGCAACAACCATCTAACACAATGAGTTAAGCTGAGCTCCATAATAACGTATTCAGTTAATGCGGTGATAACATTTCATTGCTTTGTGTGGCGGAGCGGGGTATCTTCCTAGGCTGAAGTCAACAACCAGAGTGGATAGTTTCCCTCGATGGCAACGTCTCCGTGATCAAGGCCAGCTTTCAAATGGATGGGCTTCGCCAGGTTATATTGACCCGTGAAACTCTACACATGAAGGGATACCTATCCGGCTTTCAACCAAGATATGCGGAGGGAACAGTTGATCAGTTGGAAAGCGGCTTACAAACACACTCGGTCATGGAACTGATAATCTCGATGATTTATCAAAAATGAAACCCCCCCCGACTTTTTTAAAGACCGTCTTGCGCCGTGGATATCTGTCCAGAGAAATAGATCCCTCACGAGTTCTTGTTTCGTTCGCCAGCAGTGTCCTGGCCGACTAGCCCGTTTTTTTTTCTTTTATCTCACGTCGAAGAATAGTTGACACATTTCTATTAAGGCCTCTCGTTACTTATCTGACAAGTTCCAAGCCATAACTTTCTATTTTTATTGGTAAGGAATATTTTGATTCCACTTTGAAAGACAGTTTTCAATGTTTTCTCTTTTGGTCCTGAATGTTTTGGCTCTACCGAAAAGTTCAAATTCTAAGTCTGCAGGTGCAAAATATGGTGATTATGGAATATATCGAAGAACCTCCTATTCTGGCGATCTTAATTTTTTGTTTTGAAGTGAATCTTTGAAATGTTCTACTGGAGAATAACGCCTTTTCTGTTTACCGAAGCTTTCCTTGTTTTCCTTTGCTTGATTTAGTTATTGGCAACAAACGTTCGCAGTGATTGTTTCTTTGTTTGTTTTGGTTTTACGGCATATCAACACCTCAATGGGTTATTTTTGTTTTACTTCTTTTTTACATGGATTTAATTTCTTTTGCAGATTAAAAAAAACTTTGAGAGTTTTGGCGATTAACAAAGATGGCCGACCAAGAAGCATGCTCCAGGATTGAACAGCGGTCAGTTATCAAGTTTTTGGTTGCTGAAGGGTGCAAACCAGTTGAAATTCGTAGGAGAATGTCAACTGTATATGGTACCACATGTTTCAGCCAAAAAACTGTCTACAAGTGGGCTAAATTGTTTAAAGAAGGACGGAGCAGTGTTGAGGATGAAGACTGGGAGGCCTCCAGAAGTGAGGTCTCCTGAGGTGATCGAATCAGTCAATGACCTCATTCAGTCTGACAGAAGAACTACTTGTGAACTGCTGAGGCAGGTCAAGAAAGACATAAAGAACAAACGCAGGGGTCATCAGTCAGAAGGAGTCATCTTGCATCATGACAACGCAAGCCTCACACAGCAGCCCAAACGGTGCAGACCATCAACGAGCTGGGGTGGGAACTGCTCCCTCATCCCCCTTACAGCCCAGATCTTGCCCTGTCAGACTTTCACCTGTTTGGTCCCTTGAAAGCGTTCACGAGAGGCACGAAGTTTAAAAGTGACGATGAAGTCAAAAGTGTTGTGAGCTGAGACATCAGTCCAAAGATTTTTACGCTGGGGGAATACGGAAGCTTGTGCACAGATGGGAAAAGTGTATGACAGTGTTGGGAGACGACGTTGAAAAATTAAAAAAAAAAAATAAGCTTCTATCTGTATTAAAAGTCCTTATACCGAAAAATTCACCTTATTTATTGAATGACCCTCGTACATACCTTAGTGAATATCGTTCTTAAATGATTAATGGATTGATTTGTTTGTTTAACGGCATGTCAACAGATTATGGGTCATTTAATTTTGAAATGTAATGTTCTTGGGAGTTAAAAAAAAAGTAGGATATAAGTTTCTGTCTATATTTCTGGGATGTGGTATTATGTACAGTATTTACATTATTCGGACTATTGTCCTCATATGTGTTACCATATTTATCACAACGTTTCGGCCGTTTCAGGTGGTTGGAATGCCGAACTGAACCCTTTATTTCGCTCACTGGAGTAGACTGTTCTAGTTCCACGTGCCATGTTTAATGGATGTCAATTATCAGTTATCTCCTGTTAATTAACCTCTATAAGTTCTCCACTGCCTTAACCAGGTCTTGAACTCACAATTCTTTGGGTCCTGTCACTGGACATAACCAACCACTTTATCCACTGTGCCATGTGACATTAAGGACATCTATGTATGAATTTCTGAGACTTATAAAGTTAATGTCTTCAGCAACCATTTTTACCAGAGCTCATATTACAATTTTCGTTGTTATTATTGCTTTTCTCTGGCACTTCTTATTACTGGTTCCCATATTGTATTCATTTCTACGCTTGGTCAGCTCAGAAGATTTTTGTGGCCTAGCATATATGCCGATTCCTTAAATTTAGGAATTTTGCAATGATGTTCTTTGTCTATGATTTCAACCTTATCACACAGAGGGCAGTGATCTCCCTTTTATCTTCAAATGTGGTCGGCCACGCCTGATTTTTCCACTTTTCCCCGTGTTACAGCATTTGGTGTTCTTGAGCCCTTACTTTAAGAGAGCAGCCTCTCTCCCCTTTGCATTTCTTTCTGCAGCTGCACGGGATGGTGTATACACAGTTTTTAGTCATGTTCTCCTCTATGTAGTGGGTCTTACTCGGGATCTCCACGTTCTCCACTGTCTTAACCAGGAATTGAACTCACAACTCTCTAAAGGACACATGGTACAGTGGATAAAGGCGTTGGTTTGATTCAGTAACAGGACCCAAAGTAATACATTTTTATATAAAAATTGCTGGGATTTTTACTGCAAAATAATGTATTATTCTTTCATAGTTTTTTTATTTGGCGGTTCAGTACTTGCCCATATCTGGGAGCCTAACAGGGGCTTCCACTCCGGGTCAGGGTAGACTTGGAAACAACTGCGATTAAGACATAGTTCTACGCTCCTCAAAACCTCCTCAGAGGCCTTGCTGTCGGATATACTTTACCGTTGTGCCTAGCATTACAAACGGAATAAACAATCGATTTACGGAGAGTTGTGTTTAACAAGATAAATTTGGTAGATCAAATGGCTGTCGACTGAATTCGATTCACACAGGATGTCCTAAAACTCATAGTGCTGCTTTGGAATCGGCATTCGTTCATGGAAGCAAAGATGAATGATTACATGAACATGAACACTTCTATGTGGCGTTTCCTTTCTTGACGATGACGATCATGGATCTCCACAACTTCCTAATCCCTGTTCTACTTGCCAGTTACGCAAGCTCACTAAGTAGGTTGTTTTCCTTTGTCACTCTTGCCTTCAGCCTATCCTGTGAGTGTCAAATTTTCCAAGCCATCTTTCATCATTATGTGCCCTAGAAAGTTCAACTATCTCTTTCTGATGTTAATTATAATATAATTATTTTTATATAATATAATTATTTTGCTCCCGTTTTCTTTGAATCTCCATCGTTGCTAACGGTCCATGGGATTCTCAGCATCCTTCTGTAGAACCACATTTCTGTTACTTTTTTTTCTTTTCTTCCTTTGTGAGGAGATTGCCCAGCATACATTGGCTTATAGAGGGAGTGACATAACAGTTCAGTAGTTTTCCTTTGTTTCTAACTAAATTTTCCTTAATGGTTTACTTAGCTTTTAGAAGGCATCTTTCGCTACGCCAATGAGCGTTCAGTTTTCAGTGCCTCACTTAAAGTCGGCTTATTCTTACTGAGTGTCCCAAACTCATGGTCTTATTTAATACTAAATCAATATTAGTAAAAATGATTATAGACTTAATATGGATTTTTATATGGATTAAGTCAAATACAATTCTAAGCATTTCATCAGGAAAATCAGGTGAAATGATATATTTGGCATTAAGGCCTATAATTACCGATACAAATGTTAATAATTTAATCTATCTATTGATCGAGTGATTTGTCTATTTCCTGTTGGTGTTAAATATATATATATATATATATATATATATATATATATATATATATATATATATATATATATATAAAAGAGAGAGAGAGAGATTCAATTTGATATACAAAAATAGTCAAATCATCTTTTCTCGTTGCGGTTGCTTCGCTTATATGATTAAGTTTAGTGTCGCCTCGAACCAAAGCATATAGGTATGTTCAATATCTATCTATCTATCTATCTATCTATCTATCTATCTATCTATCTATCTATCTATCTATCTATCTCATTCTGTTCATATCTATCATTCTATTTATCGATCCATCTATCTGTCTAATTCTGTTCATATCTATCTATCTATCTATCTATCTATCTATCTATCTATCTATCTAATTCTGTTCATATCTATCTATATATCTATTTATCGATCCCTCTATCTATCTAATTCTGTTCATCTATCTATCTATCTATCTATCTATCTATCTATCTATCTATCTATCTATTTAATTCTGTTCATATCTATATATCTATTTATCGATCCATCTATCTGTCTAATTCTGTTCATATCTATCTATCTATCTATCTATCTATCTATTCATTCTATCTATCTATCTATCATTCATCTATCTAATTCTGTTCATATCTATCTATATATCTATTTATCGATCCATCTATCTATCTAATTCTGTTTATCTATCTATCTATCTATCTATCTATCTATCTATCTATCTATCTGTGTTCATATCTATCTATCTAGCTATCTATCTATCTATCTATCTATCGATCTATCTATCTATCTAATTGTGTTCACATCTATCTATCCATCTATCTATCTAATTGTGTTCATATCTATCTCTCTCATTCTGTTCATATCTATCTATCTATCTATCGAACTATCTATCTACCTATCTATCTATCTCAATCTGTTCATATGTATGCATGTATATTTGTATGTATCTATCTATCTATCTATCTATCTATCTAGACCGCAGATTTTCCTGTAAACATACAGTTCTGGTAGTCGTTTTCCTCTCTCCATACTCAACGTATCACCACTGTCCTCATTACAGTCAGTTTACTGACAACTTGAATTTTAGTGTCGCCTCGAAGCAAAGAGGCGCCATTATTTATAGATTTCTGACCAATCTGATCTGCAACTATATTAACTTTATTGCATTTTATTTTTCTGATTGCAGTGGAAAGACCAATGCCTGGGGCGATATTCAGACCCTTTTCCTTACTTAATTCCCATTCCTCACCACTTATCCCGAGCGACGGAATTAATTCTCGGCTAATCCAGAATAAGAAGGCGAAAGTCACAGGGGAGGGGGAAAAATGAAGGACCGAATAAATTTTTGAATGGAAAAGGAAATAAATTACGAAGAAGAAACGTAAAAGAGAACGAAGAAATTAGGAAGGAAAATAGTTCAACAAGTGACGTAAAAGTTTGAAGCAACAAGAGAAAGAAATGAAAAAGAATAAGTTTTATGGAGGAAATATTATAGATGATGAATGATTTTGCAAATGAAAAATAAAGCCAAATTTTATTTAGCTTCTTTCGGAGCGAACGAAGTCAAAAAAAAAGGAAGAAGAAATAAATTTGGAAGTCAGATAAAGGAATCAAAGAAAGAAAAAGAAATATGAAATAAAGAATGAAGGAATGAATAAAGAATGAAGAAAAGAGGAAGAAATGAATGATGGAAAGAATGAATGTATGAATGAACGAGAAAAGAATGAATGATCGTTGTAAGGAAAGAATGAATAATGAAATGTGTGAACGAATGAATGAATGAAAAAAGGAATGAATGAAGGACGGAAGAAATAAATAAGAAAAGAATGAAAAAAGGAAGGAAAAATAAATAGAATGGCGGAAGTAAAGAAGAAAAGAATGGATGAGAGAATGAAAGAAGAGATGAAAGAATGTGATAATGAAAAAATGATTGAATTAATGAATGAAAGACGGAAAGAAGGAAAGAATGAACGAGGGAGAAATGAATAAAGGACTGAAATGATGAATGAATGAATGAATGAATGAATGAAGGCAGGGATGAAGGACTTCATGAATTCAGAAGGAATGAAGGAATTAAGGAATGAATAAATGACTGAAGAAAGGAATGAAAAAAATGAAGTGATTGTTGAATGAGGATGAAATGAAAGAATGAAGGAAGAAATGGGGGGATGAAGTATTCTAAGAATGAAAAAAAGAGGAGAAAAATGAGGAATACGAAATAAACCAAAAGGTTTAGAAAATTATTTAGGAATGAAAAAAAAAGGAATAAATCATAAACGATAATGAAAGACAAATGGTGTATGATTCTCGAAGGAAATACTAGAAAGATGAAAAAGAAAGAAAAAGAATAATTTTTGAATGAAAATGTGTTCACATAAAGGATAAAAGAAAACGTTTGATCGATTTCCGAATGAAAAAGAAGAAATAAATTAGGAAAAAGCAAGAAAGAAAAAAGAAGAATTAAGCTATGAAGGAAAATGAAGGAAATAAAAACGAAATCAAAGAAAGTAAAAGCGTAAGTAATTTTTGAATCGGAAGAAAAGACAGAAAATTTGTAAAGAATTAATAAAACAAAAACGAAAGAAATTATAACACATTTCCCAATTAAAAAAGAAAGATAGAAAGAAAGAAGGAAATAAATAAATAAATGAATAAAGAGAGAAAGAAAGAGTAACTAATTTTGGAAGCAAAAGGAAAGAAAGAAGGAAGAAATAAAATAACAAAAGGAAATAAGTACGTAATAACGCACTTCACAATTGAGAAAGAAAGAAAGGAAGAAAAGAAAAGAAAAGAAAGAAAGAAAAGAAACGAAAAGAAAAGGAAGAAAGAAAGAAAGAAAAGAAACGAAAAGAAAAGAAAAGAAAAGAAACGAAAAGAAAAGAAAAGGAAGAAAGAAAGAAAGAAAGAAAAGAAACGAAAAGAAAAGAAAAAGAAAGAAAGAAAAGAAACGAAAAGAAAAGAAAGAAAGAAAAGAAACGAAAAGAAAAGAAAAGAAAGAAAAGAAACGAAAAGAAAAGAAAGAAAAAAAGAAAAGAAAAGAAAGAAAGAAAAGAAAAGAAAGAAAGAAAAGAAACGAAAAGAAAAGAAAAGAAAGAAAGAAAGAAAGAAAGAAAGAAAAGAAACGAAAAGAAAAGAAAGAGAGAAAAGAAACGAAAAGAAAAGAAAAGAAAAGAAACGAAAAGAAAAGAAAGAAAGAAAGAAAAGAAACGAAAAGAAAAGAAAAGAAAGAAAGAAAGAAAAGAAACGAAAAGAAAAGAAAAGAAACGAAAAGAAAAGAAAAGGAAGAAAGAAAGAAAGAAAGAAAGAAAGAAAGAAAAGAAACGAAAAGAAAAGAAAAAGAAAGAAAGAAAGAAAGAAAAGAAACGAAAAGAAAAGAAAGAAAGAAAAGAAACGAATAGAAAAGAAAAGAAAGAAACGAAAAGAAAAGAAAAGAAAGAATAAAAGAAAAGAAAAGAAAAAAAGAAAAGAAAAGAAAAGAAAGAAAGAAAAAAAACGAAAAGAAAAGAAAAGAAAGAAAGAAAGAAAAGAAACAAAAAGAAAAGAAAAGAAAGAAAGAAAGAAAAGAAACAAAAAGAAAAGAAAAGAAAAGAAAAGGAAGAAAGAAAGAAAGAAAGAAAAGAAACGAAAAGAAAAGAAAAGAAAAGAAAGAAAGAAAAGAAAAGAAAAGAAAAGAAAAGAAACGAAAAGAAACGAAAAGAAAAGAAAGAAAAGAAACGAAAAGAAAAGAAACGAAAAGAAAAGAAAGAAAAAAAGAAAAGAAAAGAAAAGAAAGAAAGAAAGAAAGAAAAGAAACGAAAAGAAAAGAAAGAAAGAAAGAAAAGAAACAAAAAGAAAAGAAAAGAAAAGAAACGAAAAGAAAAGAAAAGGAAGAAAGAAAGAAAGAAAGAAAGAAAGAAAGAAAAGAAATGAAAAGAAAAGAAAAGAAAAGAAAGAAAGAAAAGAAACGAAAAGAAAAGAAAAGAAAGAAAGAAAGAAAGAAAGAAAAGAAACGAAAAGAAAAGAAAAGAAAGAAAGAAAAGAAACGAAAAGAAACGAAAAGAAAAGAAAGAAAGAAAAGAAACGAAAAGAAAAGAAAAGAAAGAAAGAAAGAAAAGAAACGAAAAGAAAAGAAAGAAAGAAAAGAAACGAAAAGAAATGAAAGAAAGAAAAGAAACGAAAAGAAAAGAAAAGAAAGAAAAAAGAAAAGAAACAAAAAGAAAAGAAAGAAAGAAAGAAAGAAAGAAAGAAAAGAAACGAAAAGAAAAGAAAAGAAAAGAAAAGAAAGAAAGAAAAGAAACGAAAAGAAAAGAAAAGGAAGAAAGAAAGAAAGAAAGAAAAGAAACGAAAAGAAAAGAAAGAAAGAAAAGAAAAGAAAGAAAGAAAAGAAACGAAAAGAAAAGAAAGAAAAAAAGAAAAGAAAAGAAAAGAAAGAAAGAAAAAAAGAAAAGAAAAGAAAAGAAAGAAAGAAAGAAAAGAAACGAAAAGAAAAGAAAAGAAAGAAAAAAGAAAAGAAACAAAAAGAAAAGAAAGAAAGAAAGAAAGAAAAGAAACGAAAAGAAAAGAAAAGAAAAGAAAGAAAGAAAAGAAACGAAAAGAAAAGAAAAGAAAAGGAAGAAAGAAAGAAAGAAAGAAAAGAAACGAAAAGAAAAGAAAGAAAGAAAAGAAACGAAAAGAAAAGAAAAGAAAGAAAGAAAAGAAACGAAAAGAAAAGAAAGAAAAAAAGAAAAGAAAAGAAAAGAAAGAAAGAAAAAAAGAAAAGAAAAGAAAAGAAAAGAAAGAAAGAAAAGAAACGAAAAGAAAAGAAAAGAAAGAAAAAAGAAAAGAAACAAAAAGAAAAGATAGAAAGAAAGAAAGAAACGAAACGAAAATTAAAGAAAAGAAAAGAAAGAAACGAAAAGAAAAGAAAAGAAAAGGAAGAAAGAAAGAAAGAAAGAAAAGAAACGAAAAGAAAAGAAAGAAAGAAAAGAAACGAAAAGAAAAGAAAAGAAAGAAAGAAAAGAAACGAAAAGAAAAGAAAGAAAAAAAGAAAAGAAAAGAAAAGAAAGAAAGAAAGAAAGAAAAGAAACGAAAAGAAAAGAAAAGAAAGAAAAGAAACAAAAAGAAAAGAAAGAAAGAAAGAAAGAAAGAGAGAAAAGAAAAAGAGAGAGTAAGTAATTCGGAAAGAAAATGAAAAAGAAAAAAAAAGAAATTTCAGAATTCAAAGTAGAAAATCTTAAACTCTTAAAAATCAAAATAGAAACGAATAACTATCTTCGGAATGAAGAAAAAAAAAACAAACAAAAAACGAAGGAAATTACCAAAAAGAAAGAAAGAAAAGGAATAATTGATTTTGCGATGGAAAAGAAGAACAAAAAACAGGAAAAGAAGGAAAGAAGAAATAATTTTAGAATGAAAAACAAGAAAGAAATCGGGGAAAAAAAAAGATAAGACAAAATTATTTCAGAATGAAATAGAAATGAAAAAGAAATTTATAACTAACTTCCGAATGAAAAAAAGAAAAAAAAACGAAAAGAATTAAGTAAAGGGAAAAAAAGCGTAATTCATTTTAGAAGGAAAAAAGAAGAAAGGAATTGGAAGAGGAAGAAAGAAACGAAGGAGAGTATTCGAAATAAATGCGTGAGTATTTTGCTAAAGATATTTGTGTGGATTCACCTTTGCCCACTCCTCGAAACGAGGGCCGATTATTAATTGTCGTTTCAACGCTTTTATCTTATCAAGAATTGAAACGGCGTAACCGAGCCATTCTACTGTGGTCATTAATTGAAGAAAATCAAAAACGGCTCATTAATTGACATCGTTGTCTCAGGCGCAGAGGCAGCCTTGTCCCCAGGCTATTTCTTCCATACTTGGTCAAGGCGAATGGCCTTCAGCGACGGCTCATTGTTCAAATTCCCATTCCGTATGGGTCTCAATGACTGTTCTCTTCTTACCGTCCTCCGATCAGTGTGGAAATTCTCATTTGGCTCGCATAAGCCAACTAGACGAGGGCAAAAAAA